GGGGGACGTCGCAGCACGCAATGAACTGGCAGTTGATCTGTCAGCACTATCCTTATCTTCAGATGTTTTTATTTTATTCGGCTTATAATTCCTTACTAAATGTAGTATTTCATCTCGACGTACTCCGTCTTTGATATGATTTAAATCAAATTCCTCGTCATTATAAATATCACGAATACACATCAAATAGTTTTCTGATTGCAATTTTCTAATTTCGACTATGCATAAAGTATGCTTTACGCATGCGCGCGTTGAAAGAAATATTTAATAAAGTAAAAAATAAATATTAAGCTTTTTTTTGTAAATTTTGATACTTTTTGGATCATAATTGCTCTTTATTTCATAAATTACCGTTTCATATTTTTAATTGTATAATTTCTGCATGCCATCTTACCAGATTTACACTAATGATCTATAATCCGGAATCGCCGAAGTCCCGACGAGTTCGGATTAAAGACTTTTGACTGTATAACAAAATATGATAGCTGTTTCAAGAAAATAACTGGTAAATTTTGATACTTTTTGGATCATAATTGCTCTTTATTTCATAAATTACCGTTTCATATTTTTAATTGTATAATTTTTGCATGCCATCTTACCAGATTTACACTGATGATCTATAATCCGGAATCGCCGAAGTCCCGATGAATCCGGATTAAAGACTTGACTGTATAACAAAATATGATAGCTGTTTCAAGAAAATAACTGGTGACCTCAAAATTAACATTCTAAATTTGGTGATCTGCCCCTAAATTCATCTCTTCTCACAAGTTCCAGATTTTTCTATCTTACGTAACTTTTTAATGCAGATTCTTCATGTCCTATCAATTTAATTGTAAACCGAAACTCTGAACTGAAACTTTCCCAACCTTCTTCCTCTGAAATCCGCAAATCTCCTGCCGGCAAGACGCATTTAAACCATGCTGCTGCTACTTACTTAAGATGACATTCTAATTCAAAATGCAATTTAAGTATTCAAATATAATTAGGAAACATCTTGTCTGAAAAAGGAAGATTTGATATGCATGGAAAAAATAAAGATTGTGAATTTTTAAGATACGTTGTGCTAAATTGCGTCATCATGCTTTACACTGTGCCAATACGGTCTTCTCGGTTATCTACGCAGTATCATAAGCTGTGAAAGTTCCAGTGCCTTCATCTACGCATTTAAAAATCATCACACACACACACACATATATATATACACATACATTATACAGGTCTGTATATACAAAGTTTCTAGGAAGGAAATTTATGTATACAGCAAGGATAAAAAAATATTCAAGACATTAAAAAGTAGATTGTATTGTCTTTTGCAACGTGTCCACTCCAAAGATGAAGTGGATCGTTGGGATCCATGCTTCCATTTCATTTTTGTATATTGTTATGTTTTTCTGTTTTCTTCTGACACCAGTTGTTGCGTTATTTTGTTCGTTCACGTTCGTACGGGGTTTGTAGATTTGGAGTGAATAACGACGACACTTGATGAAGTATCGAAACACACTTTATTTGCCAGTATTAATCAGGACAGCTCCAATAACACTTTTTACAGTTGTCGAAGTTCTACTATAAACACGTTGGAACAATCAGCGACACAGCCTTCACACTGTCAGGCAATAACGGCGGAGACAAGCTTCCTGCAAGGCACCCAACTCTGCTTGGTCATTCTTGGAACTCCATGTACTCTCGAGACTCTCCATGCTACAACTCGTAATGAACTCAATGACACACAGAGCACAGCTTCTGACTCTTGGTTCAGTCGTTTCCGCTCAACACGCTCTCTCGACGATGCACTAACCGCAATACTCTACGAGACTCTTTCGGTGCACTCGATGACCCACTCAGCACTCGCTGGCCGGCTGTCAACGCGATCACCTCCGCAGGGTTTGACTCGCTAGACGAGACACATTCACTCAATGAGAGAGGCACACTCTCACTACTAGTACTCTCAGCGTACCAGCGGGGTTTATATAGCTTTTAGCTGGTGTTCAAGAACATTCTGGCCTAAATCGGCAAGAATTCGTTCCAGAAGGTTCTCCATCAATACATGGCATATCGGCAGTTTTGTTGCAAAATGTCACCAAATAGGCGATTTCTTGCCAAATGCGGCAACCCTGCCTTCCCTTGCCATTTTATGGCAACCCTAAAACTGCTTTGCGGTCAAGCCATCTTACCACACCTTTACATTTCGTAACAATATCATTCTTGGGTTGATTTGGTTTATTTGATTAATGGTTTATTTATTACACAGCACTCAAAGGCTATCTGTCTGGGAGGGATGCCTTCAGAAAGGACTTTCTAATGGAACTGGCTTGTATACACATTACACATGGATGGAAAATATGAAATTGCCCATTTGCAGAATTCAAACCTAGAACCAAATTACCAGTGTTCAATGACTTACTGCTTGGCACTTGTGGGCCCTCTTGCATATTATTCATTAGATGTTATTTTTCTCAGAAACATTTTTTATATTCATAAAAATTACTACATAAAATATGGAATTCACTTTCAAGGTTTAAAGAAAGGTTCCTTGACTGCTTACTCTTGTACTTGACCTCTTTCTAGAGACCAAATGTTGCTGATAGTTGAAAAAGTAGTTTCTACTGAAGCTGATGCAGTTAGCAGTGAGAGTGATTAAACAGAGAGATAATCACTCTTATTTAAAAATCCTGGATGTCTGGTAACCCTAATTAATATGGCTAGGAGCAGCATAAGTCAGCAGATTCATAAGAACTGAACTAGAATGTCCAAGTTTAAATGTCAGTATTTCACTACTTTCTGAATCAGATTACAGCATATCACAGGATTGAGTATAAAATCCAGTGTCTGCTGCCATCAAACAGTGTTTTAGCTTTAAACCCACACTTCTAGCAATATTTTAATTGAAAGTTGATATGACAGGTGCCACTTAATATGATTACACTCTTCTGCAGCTATTTTGGTAAGATTAACCAAATGATAACATTGAATGAAGAGAAAAAATATCTTTCAAAACAGCAATGGAATTTAACTAATTTAATATTAAAAAATTTTAAAAACATATAAATGCATATTTTCACAGTATTTTAATTAGAAAAATGCAAAAGTTTATGAACTGTTCATAATGTCTTTAATGCAAAAGTTCACTTCTGAACTGTTCATAATATTTCTGGAAATTATTTGACCGATGCTGTACCCCTGATCTTAATATTAACATATTGAGCGCCAAGCGTATTTCTTAGGCAATCCCGTTCAGGCCACGGGCACCGCTTAAAAGCGCTGGTATTGTAGGGCCAGCGATTCCTTATCGCAGTAGAAGATAGTTTAGTTTACAAAGATAGTTAATGCCTATTGGAACGTGATTCCTATAGGCATTCATTCAACACGTTACACGCAAAGTCTGTTTTGTAAATAGTTACATTCTATAGAAAGATATTACAAAGCAGAAAATTAGCATTACTGAAGTCCGGAAAGAATTAGCGCTATCCCTTACAAGTTGTGAAAAAGAAGATGTTCCATCGAACAGAAATGCAAGAATATCTAAGAAACAACAGCAAAATCTCCAAAGAAAACCGGGAAAAGCCTCTGAAGTACGGAAATATTGTAAATTATGTTATGATAAAAATGCAATTGAAGCTGGCAGAGTAATGGCAGAAAAAAGACTAAGACAGTTGTCACAATTTGTAATAGCTGTAATGGAGAACCGTTTTTATGCTTACTGTGTTTCAATGAAATCCATTAGTCCTGTAATGAATCAAAATTAAGTAAATTTTAAATAATTTTTCCGTAATTCCATAAAACAGGGTAAATTTTATGGTCATATATCATGTTACACGCTGTCAGCCAGCAGCGGTCAACGCGGCCTAAACGGAAAGTCTAGTGTCAGCCACAGATGGCTGATGCGGCCTAAACGGAAAGTCTAGTGTCAGCCACAGATGGCTGACGCGGCCTAAACGGAAAATCTAGTGTCAGCCACAGATGGCTGACATGGCGCTCAATGTGTTAAGGTATCCCTCATCAGAAGAAATCATGCTTAAGTAAAATTTTGTTTTAGATGCTACGAGGGAATTCTTTTTTCCAAGGAAAAAGAAAAAGTTCTGCAGAATTTTTTTTTTTTCCAAGGAAAAAGAAAAAGTTCTGCAGAATTTTTTTTTTTTTTTTTTTTTTTTTTTTTGCTCCTGGAAAAGAAAGTCTTCTTTCTCATCACCCTCAAAATCAATAGTTATTCAAAATCCACATCAGACTAATTTTGTTTTTTGGTCTAATTTTAAATGGTTGAATGAAATCAAAACTAAACTATTTGATGACTTAAGCGCTCACTTGATGACATTTCCCTGTCACTAGGCAATTTTAATATTTTATTTTAACTTTATTTGGCAACTTTACATTAGTTTAAAAAATTATTTTTATAGTCTGATCATATTAATTGCATTTTTGATCATAATAAGGAATATACTTTTAATGTGTTTGCAAACAAACAGGCAGGACTTCGGCAAATCAATAACAATATCTAAAATGATAACAAACACAATCACATTAATCTGTGTCTGTATTTTAATAATAATTAAATAGGTCAAATTATAATTAGTCTGGAATATCATCATCTTTATTTTTAAATTACAACCGTACTTTAAATGTATTATGAAAATAGATGTTTGTCACAATAAAAGGACTAACTCAAATGAAAATAAAACAGATAAGAATCTTCATCACTTTGAATGAAGACATAGTGCATCAAGCATAATGAATTTAACTTTCAGAAGCTAATTACACAAAGAAATTTAACTGGTTAACCTTATTACAGACGATTTTCAAGTATGTAACATGAAAAATATCTTAAAGGCTAATAATGTTTATGGCACTGATAGACACCAGCTACTCAAATATTTTAATTTACTGTATATATATTTTCTACTGCATGCAAAAAGAAGAATGTGAAAATAAAAATAATAATAACAATAAAAAATTAATCAATTAAAGTAAACACTGCAATGTTAGTTTTGATAAAAATGTGCTACCTTGAAAGTATGTCATCCAAGAAATGCTGAACTTTAAACTGATACAATTGTGCCTTCATACATAAAGAAAAGAAAGAAATATTTATTATAATAGATAAATTAATTATTTATCTTTGCACTCTATGTACATATAAATACTTAATTACTTTACTTCAAATATAACTTTTATTACCTGAATTGCACCAACTTTTCCCAAGCGCACAATGCTTGCAATTATTGTTCTTAAAGAATTAAACATAAACATTTTGCCAGCTTTCAAACAAGGAACATTAAGCACAGCACATACAACAGCAAACACAATGGGTAAAAACAATAAATAACAATAAATACAATAATTATATAATAATTAAAATTAAAATAACAATAAATTACTGTTCTTAAATATTAAAATAACAAATAATTATATAATAATTAAAATTAAAATAACAATAAATTACTGTTCTTAAAGAATTAAACAAACATTTTGCCAGCTTTCAAACAAGGAATTAAGCCACAGCACATACAACAACAGCAAACACAATGGGCTAAAAATTAAAATAACAATTACAAAAAGAAAATGTCAGTATTAAAGATAAAATAAACTAATTTATAATATAATAAAAGAGATTAGCTGTTAAAATGAATATGGATGTTTCTTGAAAGTTTACCATTATTCTATGCATAATTTAAAATCAGTGCCCAATCTAATAAATTATACGTAATTGATAATCTAATTAATAACTAGTTTAATTTGAGGATGTGAAACATGAAAATGACACTAAAACAGTTCAACTAGTGACTAATTTGGTGTAACAGAAGAAGAGGTGGGGTGCAAAGAAATACTCTTGAGCATCTGGCTCAAGAGTATTTCTCAATGTCACAGTAATAACAACACAACATTTGTGGAAATACACACACTCAATAAGATTAATTGAGGTAGTTTTAATCATGGATATATAAAATAGCACCCTACAATCTTTTCCATGCAAGGTGCACTGATCAGAGTGTACAAAATCAATCCTGATACATTGAAAATCAGGGCATAAAAACCAAAATGTTAACTTTTGGGGGTTTAACAAACTTATTAACAAGCTCAATTATACTATTTATTATAACTGAAGTTTGAAATAAACATAAATGGGTAAAGAATTCCTTTGTGAGTGAGAAAGTTATGCCAGCGATTTATATTACATGGTAAATGCCTTGAATTTTTGACAGCTGAAAAGTGTTACTTCACAACCTTTTACAAATCCAACAGATATTGTTGATCCCCCGTCATACCAACTTGGGATAGATAAAGAACTTTAAAGGCACTGCAGCAAGGCAGTCTGGTATTTGTATGTTTATGTTGAAAATTTCCATTCCTAATTTTGGATAAGATGGAAGACGGTACGTTTGTTCTTAAGTGGTTTGTACCATGTCATTTAGAACAGAAATTTTATGATGGTGAACAAATAGCATGAAATGCATTTCAACAAGCATGTCACAGTTTGGAGGAACAGAAGAGAATTATGAACAAAGAGTGGAATACTTTCTGACATCATAAAAAAAAGGACCAGTTGCTAAATGTCACTAAAAATTCATGTCATTTATTCTCAATTAGATGTCTTTACTGACAACTGTATAAATGCAACCCATGGCCCACCAGCAGCCAATCAGTAAAAGGCGCTGAACGCTGGTCATTCAGTCAGATTGAAGTTTTAGTGAACAAACTGGCTGCATGGGCATTTTTGTGGTTTTCCTAATATGTAATGTGGATATGAGCAAGTTTCCTTTAAAAAGTCCTCCACAGCGGTATCCCTCCCTTTCTATGCATTGCCAAATGATACAGCATGTAATGTAACAAATAATTATATTAATGTCAGTGATGAGCACGGAGAATGCTTTCATTAACAAATTGCAACAATGGAAGAAAAATGCAGTTTAAAATTGGGTGCAGTAATGTTATCAAATTTCTGTTGAAGCATTAGAAATGATGATGAAGAAGAAATTAGCTAAAAGTGCATATTCATGTTCAGGAGATGAAACTTTGTACAAAAAAGTTTATTTAATTTCTCTACCAGGAGGGAAAAAAATGAAAATTTTGTAAAGCAGTATTACATGTTATTAGCTAATAAAATTTTTCTACAAATAAAAACATTGCATTACATTGGTTGCATTAATTTTTCCTGCTTCATACATCTCAAATAAGATTATTAAAAGTAAATGTTATTTGAAATGGTTCTTTCCTAACATGGAATGGCAAGGTGCACTTTTTAGTGACGTGGATAGTTTCATTGAGTATTAATACATATGAATGAGCTGCATTATATACTACAGAAATACTTTCCTTGGAAATCACACAGTAAATACACTTGATATAATTCTTTAGCATACTTTCATCTGGAACTGATACTTAAGCAAATTTCTCTAAAAGTTTTTCAAATAATAATATTTAAAAGTTTGAAGTGGTATATCACAGTGTAAGATTAACAACGAGTTTATTGCACTTAACTATTTGAATGTGATAAAGCAATATCACACTTCTCTTGTGTTGTGAAAAAAATGTGGCGAAGCACTATCACGCTTCGCTGCTGTTGTACCAAAAAGCATGATCTCGCTGCTGTTTGTGACTATAATTTTCACATTAATTGAGAGCAGTTGTATTCATATCAACTGTGGTTCTTAATAATCTCACTCAACTGTGATTTTTAATGATGTAATCTCTTAGGCATGATGTTGTACAGAAAATTATAGAGGGCGCTGCGCCGCCATGTATGTATAGTTAATTAGAGTTTCAGTAGAGAGTGGATGAGTGTGATGATGTACAGGTGTGGTATTAAACAGCTATCATGTAACTCCAGCTAATCTGTAATATGCCTGTATATAGAATTTACTTTATAAAGTAGATTTAGAATCAAAGAAATGTTTTTATTCACCACAACATGACATGAAGAACCACTGGTGTGAGTATGGAATTAAGTACACTGGTTATCATAAATTAAGGAAAAATCACGATTGCTGAAAAAGTTACAAGTAGAATTTTATGAAACTTACCCACAATATACAACACATAGTAAGGTATCAAATAACATGAAAAGAAAATTGCCAGACAAATTATGGTAGTATAGAAATTAGCACATGTATAAAATGAACAAATCGAAGATGTCAGTTTGCTATAGTAAAAATACCTTCAATATGGAATATAATCGCCTCTAGAAGCAATACAGCACATTCAACAATGTGTGATGCTTTCAATTATGTGGTCTATCAGTTCTATAGGAAGCGAGAGCCATTGTTCTTGCAGAGTAGTTGCAAGCGTGGCAAAGGTCTAAGGGGGTGGATTGAGAGCAGCTAGATGTCTCTCTAAAGCATCCCAAACGTGCTCGATAGGATTAAGTCCGGGGATCGAGCTGGCCACTCCATGCACATAATTGTTTCCTGTTGGAGATAATCATATACGATGCGAGCCCTGTGTGGTTTTGCATTGTCGTACTGTAACAGGAAAGGATCATGTATTGCCCCAGCATATGGACGGACATAAGCATCAAGGATGTCATCTCTATAAACATGAACATTCAGGGTTCCCCTTGGAAAAACATGTAGGTCTGTGTGTGCACCCAAAGATATGCCACCCCAAACACAGACACTGCCTCTTTCACGGATGTTTGATGGATGATAACGGGTTCCGGGTTCTCTCCATACCAAATAACACCTACTATCGCACTCTAGATTAAACCTGGACTCATCTGTAAAGAGAATAGCCCTTGCTCAGGCATCCAGTGAACATGTTGTTGTGCCCACTGCAAACGGTTCCTCCTATGGCACGACTTGAGCAGCACGCAAATGGTTGTTCGCCTCGCATACAGACCACCTTTGTGAAGCCTTCTACCCACAGTTGATGTTGACACCAACCTTCCGGTGGCTGCAGCAAGGGAGGATCTAAGAAGAGTTGGAATAGCGGTTTTATTCCTGAATGCACATAATGTCAAATATCGATCATCGGCGCTCGTCGTAGCAGTTGGCCGTCCTTGTCTGAACCTCCTAGGTGCCGAATCTGTGATTTGAAATTGCCTCCAAAGACTATGAACCACAGAAAGTCACGCATTTAGCCACCTGGCCACTTCTGTTTGACTTTGTCCTGCATCTAGTCTCCCAATTTCTTTCTGCCGTAGTTCTGCAGGCAAATGATGTCTGGAGATCATTGTTACAAATTGGCTATCTCAGATTTCTGATGTCAATATCACAGTGAAATATGTGCACTTGCTCTCAGACATGGACTTTTATGCTCCTCGCAGATGACGTATTCCGAGTGCAGTGCCACTAATTTGCCTATTGGAGTTTTACTCAGCTACTCTTACTTGGCAACATATTCAAATTTACATGGTTTGGCTTATTTTTTAGGGAGTTGTCGCTATTTTTGTGATTTTTCTTAATTTATGATAACCAGCGTATATTTTCCACAGATGTGCTACTATAGTGGCTTACTGTTTGAACTGAATAATTGTTTTCACATGTTGTATTTCCCATTTTTGTCTTTACAGCGTTGAACAGTATATGGACAGCATACCCAGTTTTTGTTTTTGATATGCCAGTGCCAAGTATGAATTGTTGCTTGTCATATATTGCACTGCTATATCATTTACATCTAGTTCGCATTGAAGTCTGCTGTACAAAGAAACAGCCCTATGCAAAATTCAGCCGGCACCTAAGAAGTTAAATGAGAAATTTTCCTTAGAAAAATTGCCTGGGCAAAACTCTCAACAATGCGAGATATGCAGTAAAAAAATGGTAATGGATTTAAACGATCCAGCTTAATTTGTACTATATGTAAGAATGGAATTCATGGTGCAACAAAACACTCTTGTAATAAGTAAGAATAAAAATACTTTTATTGGTAAAAATTACTTTTTATATAATAACTGTTTCTATTATTTTCAAAAAAAAAAAAAAAAAAAAAAGAGTATGTATTTCATTCTGCACTTTTAGCAAAAATACAAGAAAATTTTTCAGTTCTTAAATGTTTTATCAGTACACCTTATGCAATTTTTTAATAATTGTCTACAAAATATTATTATACTATAAATTTAAATTATAACATTTTTCAGAAACGTTGTTCATTTGGTATTTTGCCTAAAATTTTTTTCTGAATTGATGAGATCATATGTTTTTTATAAATAGCTATGTTTACAGTCACGAGCATCATATTTGACAATTCACCTTTTCCTTTAAAAGACACACACACTTCTTTTTTCCCCCTTTCTGTCTCCCTTTTTTGAGGAAAAAAGCAGCTGAAATGGTGCAGTTTTCTAGGTCACAATGTGGTTTGCTTAAGAAATGAGGTTCATGAAGGAGTCAACGAAGCATTATTCAAATTGTCCATTTTATTGACTGCAGCATAATGCAGAAATTAATATAATTTATAGCATAAAACAAAAATATTACCATAACATTCTCTTCACATGACTATTTTTAAGCCAACTCAAAATGATGGCTTTCCTCTCCTCTTCTCTTTTCTCTCTTTGTAGTTTCCTGAATATTTTTTTTAAGTTCATATTTTTATTATTTGAAATAACTAAGCTGATTTAATGTCACTGGATTAGTCAAGGTTACATATACAAACAAGGTTTTCAATGAAAACTTTTTTTTCTTATACAATATTACTAATGCAGTAAGTAAGAAGTAAAGTGAGAGGAAATCTATAGGATAAAAAGGTGACAAATGGGAGCAATAGGTGCAAAACTCATATTTAAGACCATATTACATCTGAAAGGGCTTGTATTAACACAAGAAATAGAATTTATGAAAGCCTCAGTATTATTTCCTAATAAGTGCTGCAATTAAACATTTGGGCCCTAGCAATATCATTAAATTTATCATTATACTTGTAAATAAAAATGGAATTATAAATTTATGATGCTCCAAATAAATTGCTTTAGTAAATCAAGCATCATTGACCAAAAGATAAGCAGAAACAAATGGATTAAACAAACTTAACATGAATGGCAAGCATAAAAGCAAGAGAAGTGAAGACATTACAGTAAATTAAAATATATGTTGTAAAATTTAAAATGAAAAAATTAGAAATATACTGTTTTTGAAAGCTTTTCCCTTTGAAAATATAATTTTAAATCTTTTTAAGTTCTTTCATTTAACTAATTTTATAGTTACTAAATATCATAGCAAACAATGATTACTATTACAGAGCAAATTTCAAAGCAAAATTTTAAACTATATGATAAAATGTATTTATTATGTAATATAAAAAGACACTGATCATAGTCGAAAATAGAATTTCATTAGTTTATAAACATGAGTTTTAGAAATAAAGTTTCTAACCAGGTGACCATGCATTTTTTCATCATCAACAAGGTCCTTTATGGCTACAATTTGCGACAATCCAAATACATCACATGACGTGGTTAAAAATGCTCTACCCTGTTCAAAAGAAATGCATATTTCATTCATGAAAGAATAAAAAATAACTGATATAATTAATAAGTAAATTAAAACAAATTCATATAATGATCACATTGTTACATGCCCAAAGAAAAAAAATCCATGAAAAATGTAGAAATACAGGTGGGGGAGGAAAAGTAAAGTTGCTTTATCTGTTACCTGTTAATTTACTCACAATTTCAATGGATCTAAAATGCACAACAGTAAATTATTATCTTGCGAATCTACCAATGAACCAATGCCTTTGGTTGAACTTTGTAATGGTTCAAGTTTTTTATTGTATTTGTTCTATCATTTGGTATGGCTTATGGGTGTTCGCAGAGTCGGACAGTACACTCCGGAACTGATTCAAAAAATTGATTCACCTGATTGAGTGAATTTACTCTAATTCCAGGGAATGGTGTTGCAGTTCTTCTAAGGTTTCCAAAGAGCTTTTTTTGAAAGTGTGCCAGGAACAGAGACTTGTTATTTGTTCATGAACTGATTCACTTTACTGAACAAGCTTACACTTGATTGATGAAAGAAATACAGCTCATGTTGGAAATGTGCCAGGAAATACTGATTTACATTTTAGGGAAGAAAAGAATGTTCCCATGTTATATATGAGCTATTTATCATTTCCCAGCTCTTTGAAAAACTTTTATTCTAGAATTTTATTATGAGTTATGTGTAAATGAAGGTTTTAGGGAATCTCAAAATTACAGTTGAAAGAAATCAGTTTCAGCAGTTAGGGTTTAACTGAGTCAATTCTTCTGATCCCACTCTTTGTTTATTCTTTCTGCTCTTTGCTCCATCCTCGCTACCTGCTCTCGATTCTCCAAACATTCTGGATTTTTTTTTTATCAGTGTTATTGCTAATGAGTAATGAATTATAAAAAGGTACTGATAAATTTCACAGAGTGAATCGTCCTGATCAGATCTTGCTTGAAAACAAATAGGTAACAATACATCACTAACTTTTACCTTTACTTCAACTTTCAACCATAGTAAATGGTACTGTTATTTTAAGGTCTATAGAAAAGATAACAAACTAAGATTTTCTTTCTCAGAATTATTTAAGAAAAAATTATTCACTTTTATTTCTATTTCTTAAGGTTTATCCTATAATGAAAGGGTGGTCTTATATTAGAAGGGGGTCTATTTTCGCATAAATACGGTATACATAAAATAATGTGTATACATTGTTCTATGTTATGTGCTCATAGAGATCTCTTTAAATAATGCAGCCCATGAAAAGGAAAATTTCAAATTCAGAATTTTATTTTAATTTAAGATGCATACCAATCCTTATGGTCAAGGTAAAGCACTATAAACAACCCAAGGAATTGCAGGTCACCAAAATTACTAACAAAGCAAAGTCTAAAAGAGAACTCATTTGCTCGACAGCACTCAAAACTCCTATTTATACCACTGCTCATGAAAGAAGAAAGACACATCTGGTACTCTCCGTGCATCATTTAGCTGAATTGATTCAGTCAATGAGGGGAACTACACAGTTACAAGTATAAGGAAAAGCACAAGTCAAGAATATAAATAAGCTAACAGGTAAAAGAACCTGCTTAAATGTTATAAGAACATACTTGGTTATATTCCTACACAACTCCTATCAATTGTAGTAAAAATCTGAATTAAATCATTTCATTTTAGATTAGAATATACAATGGAAAAATTAGTTACACCATGCAGAGACATGGGATTCTTAACATAATACCTATATGAATGTTTAGGTATTCTGATAGGATAATAGGTTAATGGCCAATAATTCAGTCTGATGTAGTCTGAAATTTGTAGGAGAAGACTGGTGGCAGAACCTTTGTTCAGTTCTTTTGGGGTGGTCTCCATTAGAAGTGAGATGGAACTTTCCCTTTCTCATGAATGTAATTCATTCATCTCCTTAGGTGCACTTGCAGAAATATTGTCTGTGATGATCTTAATGTTATTCGAAATGGCTGGACAATTACAAATAAATACAAGTGTCAAGTAGTTTGGAACAGCAAGAAGATTTATCCAGGCTAAAACTGTAACTTTGCTGCATGATCAGCGTCATCTTAGTTAATAATATAAACTTGCATAAATGGGTCTCATTAATTAATTCTATCTTTCACCATTTCCTTTTACTAACATATAACTTTTATTTAAAACTTGCAGCCAAATCGTAGCCTGCTTTGTAAGCTACCTAAGATCACTATTTCCACAAAAGACTCAAATCATTTAAAACTATGGATATATTCACAGTGAGTATGAGCAAATGAAACACTCCCTCATCAGAATCATGAAAAATATGTATTTTATATTAATGCCTGTACTTTTCAGTCATCTCCTTAGGTGCACCTTCAGAAATATTGTTTGTGATAATCTTGTTGTTATTCCAAATGGCTGGACAATTACACAAATAAATGCAAGTGTCAAGTTTGGAACAGCAAGAAGATTCATCAAGGTTAAAACTGTAACTTTGCTGTATGATCAGTGTCATCTTAGTTAATAATGAAAACTTACATTAATTAATGCTACCATTCATCAGTTCCTTTTACTAACATAAAACTTTTAGTACTGTTATAGCAATGCACTTTTACTTATGAAATATGTACTTTTATAGCAATATGTACTTTTGTATGTAGTATATATATACTCTTAGAGAAATGCACTGTTACTTATGAAACCCTTTGTCACATCAAATAATTAAATAAAAATTTTTTAAATAATTATTTGTCTAAAAGCTTTTACCTGCCTGCAAAATGTCTTTGGATGCCAATGTTGTAAACTATAGGTAATCATCTTAAAGAACGTTCACAGTACATATAAATAAATTTAAATTTGCATTTGAACATACTTATTTCAGTGTATGATTTCTATAATAAATATTTCTCATTTTCAAGAACTTAATTTCAGGATATGAAATTAAAAAATACAATTAATTACAGAGTAATTTATGTAAGAAAACAGGGAAGAAACATAAAAAATAAAAGAAAAAGCATTCAAATACTATTAGCTTTTTCACGGATATAAAAGCTGAAAGCTCTGAGTAACAATATTATTGCTGTAAAACTTAGGAATATATTTATTTTTAATAATAAGCTAATGTTTTATATTCTCAAAATGCAATGAAAAAACTTTACTAACTAAAGATATTCATTCATATGGTTCTGATACTACTGAAAATTGTAAATAACCAGAGCATTTTATAAATAAAAATTATAAATAAAATGCTCTAAAATTTATAAATTATAAAATTATTAGAAGAATTAATTAATATGGAATATTTTAATTTACCACAAAATTTTTACTTTCGATTCTGTTAAAACATAAAAAAAATAAATAAAACATCAGCTCATAAAAAAACAGAATTTTTCCTAAATGTTCTATTTTTCAAAATTCTTCAAGTTTTTTTAATGTAAAAAATACTTTAAAAAATGCTAAACTAATAAAACTTTCAAGGAGTTTTTCATCACTAACTTTGTATAGTGATATTAATAATAAATGTTTTCATTCATTTTTAACCCACAGCAGGAAAGTACAGCATGTCCCCTGCTCCCCACCCAAAAAAATGGACAATAGGTAGATTACCTGTTGCTTACTAGCTCTATGAGCAACATGGTTTAGAAGTAAAGCATTATACAATGCATCTAATTTTTTTAACAAAGAAAGATCAGAAACTGCTTCATATGCAGCTTTTACAAATGGAATACACGAAGAGCCTGTAAAGAATGTGAATAAGTGAGATTGTTAAAAATCAAACATAATTTAACATGAGCTCTTATTTTAACCATTCTAAGAAAAAACATTAAACAAGGAACTTTTTATACTGAATGGTAAAACAAAAACATTAAACTGTTATTTTTCAAATTAATTATAATTTTTGGTCAATAAATATTATTCAACAAAATAACACTGTATATGCCACCCAACCAGTATAGCGGTTAGCACTGCTGACTGCTGTGTCAAAGGGCCCAGGTTCAAATTGCGGAGAAGGCATGGATGTTTGTAGGCATGGAAGGCTGCACTCTAAATATGTGACGAGCCGAAAGTCCTTTCATGTGGTTTGGTTTAATGGGAGAGGGGTGGAAGACCCTCAGACCCATCCACCCAGGGTGCTCTCCATCAAAATTAGGAGCGGAACTCAGCCAAACTGCACTGTCACCTGTAAGATGTTTGAGGCTGTTGCCAACACCAGGCGCATCTTGCGCTCCTTGCCATGAGGAATTTCGTGGTGTAATACTTCTTTGGCGATATGAAGCAACTCCAATGATGGAACACAGAAAAAACTTTATTTAGCACTCAAAATGGCGACATACAAACAAGAAGAGAAAACATATTCTAACATTTAAAAATAAATTACATTCTTAGTGCGAGAGTCGCACGTGGCACTCGAGTCTGGTTTCAAATATTGCCATTCACAATTACCTTAATGTTCATCTATTTAAATTATTTAAACTACAAGATTTTAATACTATTTAAAGCTGTTACAACCTCTCCCCCAACGGAGAAACTTTTTCCTAAGGAAAAAGTTCTGTAAAATTTGACAGTTTAGGCTTGCTCATTTGCTTAAAGAGAAAAGGTAACTTCTCTGATAAATTTCCAAACTTCAGGCCAAAATTTTTAAGTTTTAAACAAATATTTTTACACTGCATTTAAATAGGGAGAAAAAAAAATGGAGAACGTTAAAATACATCAGTTGAGGAGTATACATTAAATAAATAAATAAATCCTGAACGTGGTTACATACACTAAGAGTTATTACATTACTTAATTCTACTCAGAACATCTACGTTCTTGTGCAAAGATCCTTTGCGATGAATGACCTTAAAATTATAAGGTTGTAATGAAAGTGCCCAGCGCATCAATCTAGAGTTACATTTGGCGTTGGATTGTAGCCAGACCAAAGGATTATGATCAGTTTGAATCAAGAATTCTTGCTGACCATCCAGATAAAAATGCAGTTTCTTGATAGCGTAGATGATAGCAGCGCACTCCTTTTCAGT